TTGAATTTTCTACACAGCATCTAAATATTGAATTTTTAATTAGATCTTGGAATAATATACATTTGTTAATTCAGTTTACCAATTGTCACTGATGAAGTTTTCAGAATTGACATTAGTACGGTTATGATTGGTGTCATAAATTGTAGCAAATAAATACAGATGAATTGAAAATGACCAGTCAGACACCAGACACATCCTTCCTTGTTATTTGTATGCACGTATAACACATAACACTCATTTTTTATTCATCTAATAAAATATAATAAATTAGCCATGGCCTAAGTATGGTAAAAACTATTCACACACAGAACTTGCTGAACCTATCTTTAATCTCAAAATTACTTCATTATATCCAATATAATATAAAACACTTTGTTTACTTTTTTTAATACTTTTTTCAATTTTCATTTCAATCTAAAAAAATTCACATTGACAAAATGACATTTTCATCAGAAAAGTGCAGTACCAATATCAACAACTACATCACAACATATTGCCAACTTGATGGAAAAAAAATTACTAAAATTGAAATTATGAATAAAATGTTTCTTCTAAGTTCTAAGTAATGGTATAGTTCGTTATTTAATAGGTATGGTTTAATTTGTGACCATAATAGGGTAGCAATGATCATCATACATTGAGTCTGTAGTAATAACATAACATAATTTGATAACGAAAAGAAACTTCATTTTTATTTTACGATGGAATAAATTTCTTTGTATGTACCTACTAACTGAAAATGAAATGTTAAGCTCAATAAATGTTGATTTTTTAATAATGAAATTTCCATACATGTTAAACATGTAACTTATTATATTAATTACGTTTATCTTGAATATTCATAATGTACCTACCTATGTAGAATATTCCTATGATATTTTGTAAAATGGATATTCAAAAAGGAAATTGGCGTCAGGCTTAATTGTTCCCGAATAATATGCATGGGATGTACTTGGAATATTATATTGGAATATTCTATAAAAAGAATATTTCGTATTTATTTAGAATATCTTGTTCTGTGGATATAGTTAAAAAGAATATGTTTTGTATAAGAGTGATCTCAGTAGAATGATCTGAGACGTCTTGAGAGATACAGGCTTTTAAAGTTATGAAGAAAATATGGAATAACAGTTATAAATTGAAAACTAAAAAAAGTTTATTAAATTATTTTTTGCTGTACACGTAGAACTGATTAATAATTTTTTGAAAATTTCTGCTCCTTGGAAAGGTTGAAATAAGTGTTTTAAGTTAATTTTTTTCTTTGAAAAATCTTTAGAATTTTTTTTGAGTATGGCTATAATTTTTAATGAATTTTATTTGAAATGTAGAATTGTAAGAATGATTGTTAGCTAATTGTAATCCTATTAAAAATTTTATTATTTCATATGAATCAAAATCAGTTGAGAGTATATAGTTTATTGATAAATTTTTATATGTTTAAGGTTTAAAAACTTAGTTGCAATTATATAAAATTAAATGGAGAAAGTTTTATAGAATTTTTGAGGTCTGAAAACTTTTAAGTTTTGTATTATAAAATGGAATTGTGACGNGAGTATATAGTTTATTGATAAATTTTTATATGTTTAAGGTTTAAAAACTTAGTTGCAATTATATAAAATTAAATGGAGAAAGTTTTATAGAATTTGAGGTCTGAAAACTTTTAAGTTTTGTATTATAAAATGGAATTGTGACGAAAAGTATTTTAAATGTTTGTAACAAAAGGTTAAGCGTGTCAATTTAGTGACGAAAGTCATTGTTTTAAATTTTAACTGTATGAAAATGAAGGATATATAATGTAATGAATGTACATTTGTCTAGTTTGAATGGGATTTTATAAAATATCAATTTTTATATAACATCTTTAAGGACTTTGTGAGAAATTTATGTTTTAATTTAAGAGAAAATAAACGTAAAATTAAGTTTTTATATTTTATAAAAAAGTGCGGAATATAATTTTTTAGGTGAAAAAAATAAAAAAATAATAAAATAAAAATTTAAAACTTACTGGTTTTCAGTCTTCAATTTATAAAATTTGGTATAAAAATAAATAAATATTTGTTTGAATATATTGCTATTTTTGAAAAACAATATTTTTAGTGTTGATTAAAGTACCATGGTTTTTTGGGCTGTTATGTTGTAATTTATGTATTTTATTGCCATCAGTTACAGACTTACAATGCACTTCCTTAGCCATAGCTAGGAATCTTTGACCTGCCTTTGTTATTTTTAGGCTAGGCTCTGTGGGGGTGGGCTTGTTATTAAAACTCTAGTTTTACCATGATGGTCATTTTTTGTTCCTGTTGTTGGTTTTGTAACTGGTAGTATCCAATTTTTTCAAATGATTCGTTCTTCATTGATGGATTGTTCAGTGTGACTGAACTGTGTAAAGAATAATGTATTTTAAAACAAAAATTTTACATGACAAAATATTTAAGTGAAAAGGAAAAAAAATTATAGTAAAAATAATTAATATTTGGACAGAAATATAAAGGAATTAAATACTTTACAGAAAATATGTATGTAATATGTGTTATAAATGTAATTTTTTAGATTTAGAATTTATAGTATAGATAAATTGATCTTTAGATAACAGGCTTTAAAGTTAAAACAATAAATGTAGATGAAAATGAATGATTGAAATATTGACAATTAATGTTTTTTTCATATAAATGTTTAAATTTGTAATAAAAATATATTTTTAATTTGTACCTTAGTTTTTCAAGCTGTATGATTTGGGTTATGTATTTAGTTAGTACCACTTACAGATTTACATTGCACTTCTTTAGTCATAGCTAAGAACCTTTAACTTGCCCTTGTTGTTGGGTTAGGCTCTGTGGGGTGGACTTGATATGATAATTGTAGGCTTATTGGGATGTCTGTTTCTGTTCTTGTTGTTGATTGAAGATCGTTATGAAGGGAATCGCACTTCAAACAATGGTGGTCTTTGGAGATGTTCCCTATTGGTTTTTGTAACTGGTGGTATTAATCCCTTTAGTTTTGTTCTTCTTCATTGACGGTATATTCAGCGATATTTCCACTAAGGTTTTGTTGCAACTGATCTGTGAAAAGATTTGTTTATTATATTTTTTCATTCTTCTATATTTTCATTACTTATTTATAAAATTTTAACCAGTCTTGTATCTAATCTGTATTTTGTAATTGTAAATTATTTTATTATTAAAGAGACATGTTTGTTATTTTAACCTTGTACTATGAATTCTTGTTTCTGCGATTTCTCCATATGTATGTAGGATGTATATTTACATCGAAGCATTGGAGTTCACTGTTTTTCCGATATGTTATGGTAAAAGTAGTTTATATCTTCATTGATGTGTTACGGATATTAGTAAAATTCTTTTTTCTTGAGGTATGGTCTATATCAGTATATTTTTGCATATAGGTCAGATTTTAATTTCTTCTAAAACTGTAGATGTTGTAATTTCTTATCCAATGTGTTTTAGTTTGCAGACGATGTGTAATTTCAATTTTAAATATTTGTGGTGGTGTTAGATGTAAGAATGCTTTGTAGATTTTTATATGTGGCCTGAAAGAAAATTAAAAAGGTTTAAAAAAAAATGAGACCATTGTAAAGGTAAAAGATACCTATAAATTTTAAGTTGAATTTGTTATTTTTTTTAGTATATTAAACAATTATTACAATTTAATGTTCAAGATTGTCATTAATATTGATATTAAATTAAATTAAAAAAAGATTAAATATTTTTTAATAATAATTTTGTGTTTTGGTTAATATTAGTGCAAGGCCCAGTACTTTGAGTCTCGGTGAAAATATGATTAACTGATCAGGTGATTAGAATGTACATATACCGATTTATTTTATAAAGTATAATCACAATGATGATTAGTTAATCCAGCTTTAATTGAGATTCAAAATACCAGACCTAAATATAATAAAATGTGAATGCAGTAACTTACGATATTATCAAAATTGTGAAAGAAGACTGCAATTCTTATAGTCCTGTGCATCCAAGAGGTCTGGGAGTAGATAATGGTGGTTAAATTATTAGATTGGTATTAAGTAGTAAATAGTAATAAAGTAATTACAATGTGTTTGTACAAATTTGAAAAAAAAGTATTAGTATAGATACTATAAAATATATAATATGTGAAATGTGCGAAATATTATAAATAGACACAGAATGACAAATTTAAGGTTTTTTGTCTAAAAAATAAATTATATAAATATATTAAAAGAATAATAAATCATATTTATAATATGGACTGATATTTTAAATACATTATGTAATTTTTATCTACTGGAATATTTCTCTATATATAATTAATTGTTGACAGATTGAAAATATCAGAGAGTTTATATTATATATTTTATATCACAAAAGCTGTTAAATATTGGGATAGAAAATTTACTTGAATAATTTTTGAAGGAGAAAAATGGAAAAGTTTTTACATGTTATAAATGATTTTGAATTTGATGATGGGATAAAAAATAATAACAATATTAAATATTAAATTAATGATTTTGAGGCGAGGTAAGTTATTATATTAAATTATGTCTCACTGAAACGAAATTCCGAAAAATCTATCCTCGTAAAAAAAGGCAAAGTAGGTATATAAATCAGAAATTGCTCGAGGCATTTGGAGACAGTTTTGCCTAAAATGGTGGCATAGTATTTGCTCCATATCTGATAAAACCGCCAATTAATTATATTACGAAGGAAGCATCGGATTTTTTCGAATCAATAGGTATAAAAAAATGATAAAACTAACAATTTCGAAAATGTTATATTTGCATAATTTAATAAAATATATTGTTATTATTTCTATATGAGACTAACATTGAAAATAAGTTATTAAGGTTTTAATACATGATTTTAGATTTAGTGTCGGAAAAAAAATATATTTTATATCATAAAAGTTGTTAAAAATTTGGATAGAAAATTTAGTTGAATAATTTTTGGAGAAAAAGTTTTTACACATTATAAAAGTTTTTAATACATAATTCGAATTTACAAACAATAACAACGTTAAATATTAAATTAATGATTTTGAGGCGAGGTAAGTTATTATATTAAATTATATCTCACTGAAAGGAAATTCCGAAAAATCTATCCTTGTAAAAAAAGGCAAGGTATATTAATCAGAAATTGCTCGAGGCGTTTGGAGACAGTTTTGCCTAAAATGGTGGCATAGTATTTGCTCCATATCTGATAAAACCGCCAATTAATTATATTACGAAGGAAGCATCGGATTTTTCGAGTCAATAGAGAGTATAAAAAAATGATAAAAGTAGCCATTTTGAAAATGTGATATTTGTATAATTTAATATAATACATTGTTATTATTTCTGTAAATGAGTATAACATTGAATATTAAGGTTTTAATACATGATTAGAATTAGTGTTGGAAAAAAATAACAAAAATATTAAATTATTGATTTTAAAGTAAGATGAAATGTAACTGGAAATATCTTTTGAAATTAAATTTGGAATAATATATCCTTCTACATACGGCACGGTATATTAAGAATTGCTCGAAAGCATATAAGGGCATTCGTATTTAAAATGGTATAGTATTTGCCTCATATTTGATACCAAGTGCCAAATAAAAAATTAGAAGGAAGTATTGCCTGTTTCCATGCGACAGAAAAAATTCTCAGATATGAAAATGAGAAGAAAAGACATTATGGTACTGTAAGATGCAGTTTAATATGCCAATATTATTTATTGAAATATAAATATTTCTTATTTCCGATTATACGTTTGCTATAAATAGCAAACCATTTTCCCAATTCTAAGATCAAAACATGTTGTTTTATTCGATTTAAAGCAACCGATTGCACGATGCCAAATTAGCCTGTGCTTACATGATCTATGGAAATATAGGGAAAGTAATTAATTCTTGTTATAGAATAACTAATTATAATCGGAAAAGTTTGTCTACTAAAAATGAGATATTATATTGATATATTTGCAAAAATGTTACACATAGTTAGTGTTTTGTAATGATAATATACCAAACTGTCAAATGGAAAAGGCTGTAATACTGAAAACATATTTGGAGTATTAGATCAGAGAGTATCAAATAAGGAAAAAGTCCAGTTACTGACCTTCATGAAAAGTTTCTCTCAAACCTCATGGATGAGGTGTACAATAAAACATATTATAGTACTTCTCTGTACACGACGTTTCGTGTGTATATGTTTTCAGCGTTTGGTAAAAGCTTACCTTGTTCTGGACGTTGTAACATATAAATTTTAACGTCTTCTATGTTTTTAGCTCTCGAAAAAGCTACATAGAGTTGTCCGTGAGTAAATACGGGTTCCTCCAGATAGATACCCACTCGGTTGAAGGTCTGTCCCTGCGATTTATGAATCGTCATGGTATAAGCTAACTGAACGGGAAATTGCCTTCTTTTTAATTTAAATGGTAACGTGTCACCTCCTGTTTTGAGGTCTATACGGGGAATAAAAACTCGTTCTCCAGTAGGTCTGCCACTACTGTCGGTTTTTTCAGCGTCTATGTACTGGTTTCCCAATAAACGAACAATTAATCTAGTACCATTGCACAAACCTTTTTTTAGGTTTAAATTGCGTAAAAGCATTATTACGGCGCCTTCTTTTAAGACCAATTTGTGTGGCGGAAGTCCACTGGGAGTTAATGAATTTAGAAATTCGACAGTGTAATTTGCCACTTCGGCTGCCGGGTCATCCGTTGTATCCACACAGTCAGCGCTACAGTAAGTTTTGCTCAGGCCCTCTAATTTTTGCAAAACTTTTTTATTAATGGAATGGCTAATATTATTTGTTGGAACTAAAATAGCCCTACTTATGGCCACTGTTGGATCCATGTCATCAAAGCAGAACTCGATAAGATCTGGGACACTGGTAACGTAACAGTTTGTGGGTATTTGTACAATATTACCATATATTGTTCGTCGTAGAGGCTGTAAAGTTCCGTTACCTAAATTCAGGAGCCATGTAGCAAACTCGTGATTCTGAATAGCCCTTACGTTTGTTTGCAAGTCGTAATTTGTAAATAGAGGCCAGTGTCGGCTACTTTTTATACAGGCGTTTACTATTGTACATCTATTTCCGCCAACGACTACCGGTAGGGTTTGTCGGAAATCTCCGCCTAATAATGTCACTTTATTGCCGAAGGGTCTGTTATCGCTGCAGATGTCTCGTAGTGCCCTTTCGATTATGTTAAAAATAAGATTTGTCACCATGGAGACTTCGTCAATTATTAAGAGTTTACATGAGGCTATGTAACGACCTTCACTTGTAGTAGGGGAGATTCCGGTAGTCGTCGTTTCGTTAATATCAAAAGGTAATTTAAATACTGAATGAATCGTCCGACCACCTTTTAGAATTGAAGCAGCTATTCCGGTCGGACAGGCTACTAATACGGGTAATTCTTCACCTCGTAGCTTTGAGATCAAGGTTTGAAACAGGTATGATTTGCCGGATCCTGCCGCGGCATTTACCAAGAAAAGACGATTGGGATCGTTGTCATCATGAACAGCATTCATTACTGCATTACAAATGGTTCTTTGTTCATGATTGAGGTTTTCGTACATTTCCTGACCTTGTACTCTTTCGGTTTCTATATTTATAGGATCAAAACGTATTACCATTTCTGCAGGTTCTGGTAAACCGTATGATGCTAATCTAGTGCCGTTTAGCAGCAGTGTGGTTTGAATACATTGAAGTGTTTGTTGCAGAGCCCGTTCCTCAGAAAGGCCGTGGCGCCTGAAATCTTCCATGAAATAATCTCGGAATTCGTCCCAAAGCGCCGGAGCATCTGAAACTTCACAAAAAACTAATATGAAAGCGAACATGCTTCTCAATTGATATGGCATATCTCTAGAGCAAGCTTCTCTCAGAGTTCGTTTCCACTCAACGTCATCTGCCAATAAATTTCTGTGCTGGCAGGCTTCTTTAAAGGTGTCGTAAATGACCCCGTTTAGTGTACGTAACTCTTCGTAGGAGATTGCTCCAGGAACATGTAAAAGTAACAAACGTAAGTAATATAATTCCTGATTACGTATACTCACAGAGTACATTCGTGTTACAATTTTGTTAGCACCCCTTTGGCGACGGGTCCACCGTTTAGTTCTACTATTCCATACGTAATGATATGGAATGTCGGTGTACAGATATTGTCGGGCGTCGGGGTCATTCTGATTTAACAGAAACCATGCCGTTAGTTGGGTAATTTCATTATTTTCTAATGCTTGTATTTCGAATCCAGGTTGGAAACGAACCATTTGCCTGGTAGGTAGATGAACGCAAAGCCGATAAACGGTGTGGGTATTTTTATGGGTTTCAAATTGATTGATATGCCAACAGGCCTCCGGAGGAGTCATATACCGTGCGTTCAAGTAGTTTTCTACCTCATTATAATTCGCTTGATTTTCTACGTTAATGCGAACTAATGCCAGATCTACACCTTTAAATAGGTATTTATATAAGTATTTAACGCATTGGGTAGTAGCGCAAGCCTCTATATTAATATGGCATTTATACTTTAATAGGATATAGGGATTGTAAGGAACTATCCAACGATTGTCTAAAATACAGTTTCTGTTATTAGCTCTAATCGTCAAAGTTCTGCCATTGTTTGGTCTTTTATAAGAGACTTGCCCTTTTTCTGATATTACTGTAAGTTCACTAAATTCTTTAGGATACTTTTTAGAACATTGGCCATTCACCATACAAACGGAGTCTGGGTTCAATTCTCCGCAAGGGCCGTGTACCATGAAAGAGGTTACAATTTCATACAGTTCCGGTTCTAATTGCGGATCTGGTATTTCTGCACTAATGAATGCATCAATTCTGCGAGGGTCTGTTAATTTATCTCCGTCTCTTAGAATAAGCAGATTATGACAATGGGGTAACCCTCTTTTTTGGAATTCTATAACGTAGAGGTTAGCTACGTGTACCCCAAAAATGTGCTTTTTCAGCACGTCATCTATCATTTCATTTAATTTGCACTGGAATACTCTATCCATGAGAGATGGGTGGTCACTCGCAGTATAACCTGCGGGAATATTATCCACTATTTCTGGCCATCGTGCATTGGTTGTCATCGTAATGAAAAGGCTGGGTATACCGAAGCGTCCAACAACTGCCATTGCGTCCTGAAAAAGTTGCTGTTGGTATCTCGGCGAGCCTATAAAAGTTGATGGTAAAATGACCATTCTACCCAATGTTGCGGCCTCGTCATTCTCATTGCCTTCTTGGACTCTACGATGTAGGTAATCGGCCAACCCAACATATTCTGTCACTCTTAACCTCTCTTGGTTGCGTAATATATATTTGAGACGATTATTTTCGATTTTGATATACGCAGTGACAGCAAATTGTTGTGTTAGTCTGCCTCCATATTTAAGTCTGGTATCGTTATTTCTAATTCCAAAACGATAGGCATAATATTCGCATAATGTTATATTGCGATTACCATTTCTGTGAGGCATTCCTATGTACCATCCCGGCTCTCCTTGAGGGAACAGTAGAGGAAATACTAACGGATCATTATGCTCACTTTCCTCTGAGACATTTTGGAATCTAGTGGGTTCGTCGCGTACATAAATACGCATATTAGGAGTTGCTGGAGCGTCTGGCATTAAATTGTACACAGCTGCAACTTCTTCCACTCTAGGCAAGTCATATTGCCTTCTATTTATTCCACGAACATTTAATAATTCTAATGTTATATTTGGCATTTGTAAAGGGGGAGGTTCTACGTTATCACGAACGGCTTCTGCTCGAAGTCTGTCAATGGTTTGCCGTTCTAAATTGTAACGTTCTCGTAGATGCATATATGCCCTAGCGTAGGGATTTATATCTCTTAGCAATTGTTCCAAAAGAACAATTAATCGTCTATCTAAGACTTGATTATTGTTTTGTGCTCGGGCATTGACAGCATCGTCTGGATCTAGAAAATAAATAGGTCCGTAGCGTTGCAACGGCTCATTAACATTTACATTGGAAATGTGGTGATATACTTTTCCTCTGACAGAAAAGACATATGGACCCCTTGCGGGTAGGTCTCGTAGGTTTGCCTCTAAAGATACAAACTGAAAACTATAATTATATAATAAAATATACCTTCTGAAATGGGCAGACAAAGGATGTAAGCCTTGAAACAGAGCTTCTAAAACATCAGGCATAGGTGGTAAATTTTCTAAAACTACATTACCTTGTCGGCAGCATTTTGTATAGTGTCCACGACTTAGGCGTTCTACANCCGCCGCGCGGCTCCCCCGAAAAGCCTATGTGGCAATAAGTCGGCGCTTTTTCGGGCCGATCGTGCGACGCAGACGGAGCTATCAGATTTTAATATATATTGATGGTTTAATTTGTGACCATATTAGGGTAGCAATGATCATCATACATTGAGTCTGTAGTAATAACATAACATAATTTGATAACGAAAAGAAAGTTCATTTTTATTTTACGATGGAATAAATTTCTTTGTATGTACCTACCAACTGAAAATGAAATGTTAAGTTCAATAAATGTTGATTTTTTAATAATGAAATTTCCATAAATGTTAAACATGTAACTTATTATATTAATTACGTTTATCTTGAATATTCATAATGCACCTACCTATGTAGAATATTCCTAGGATATTTTGTAAAATGGATATTAAAAAAGGAAATTGGTGTCAGGCTTAATTGTTCCCGAATAATATGCATGGAATATTATATTCGAATATTTTATAAAAAGAATATTTCGTATTTATTTAGAATATCCTGTGTTCTGTGGATATAGTTAAAAAGAATATGTTTTGTAAAAGAGTGATCTCAGTAGAATGATCACGTCTTGAGAGATACAGGCTTTTAAAGTTATGAAAAAAATATGGAATAACAGTCATAAATTGAAAACTAATTTTTATTAAATTATTTTTTGCTGTACACGTAGAACTGATTAATAATTTTTTGAAAATTTCTGCTCCTTGGAGAAGGTTGAAATAAGTGTTTTAAGTTACAATTTTTTTCTTTGAAAAATCTTTAGATTTCTTTTGAGTATTGCTATAATTTTTAATGAATTTTATTTGAAATGTAGAATTGTAAGAATGATTGTTAGCTAAATATTTTCTAGTTAAAATAATGGTATTAGTAATTGTAATCCTATTAAAAATTTTATTATTTCATATGAATAAAAATTAGTTGAGAGTATATAGTTTATTGATAAATTGTTACATGTTTAAGCTTTAAAACCTTAGTTGCAATTGTATAAAATTAAATGGAGAAAGTTTTATAGAATTAGAGGTCTGAAAACTTTTAAGTTTTGCATCAGAAAATGGAATGTGGAAAAGTATTTTAAATGTTTGTAATAAAAGGTTAAGCTTGTTAATTTAGTGACGAAATTCATTGTTTTAAAATTTTAACTATATGAAAGTGAAGGATATATAATGTAATGAATGTACATATTTGTTTTGTTTGAATGGAATTTTATAAAATAGCAATTTTTATATAATATCTTTAAGGACTCGGTGATTTTTTAGGTGAAAAAAAAAAAAAATAAATAAAAATTTAAAACTTAATGGTTTTCAGTCTTCAATTTATAAAATTTGATATAAAAATAAATAAATATATTTGTTTGAATATATTGCTATTTTTGAAAAACAATATTTTTGGTGTTAAGATTAAAGTACCATGTTTTTTTGGGTCGTTATGTTGTAATTTATGTATTTTGTTGCCATCAGTTACAGACTTACAATGCACTTCCTTAGCCATAGCTAGGAATCTTTGACCTGCCTTTGTTATTTTTAGGCTAGGCTCTGTGGGGATGGGCTTATTAAAACTCTAGTTTTACCATGATGGTCATTTTTGGTTCCTGTTGTTGGTTTTGTAACTGATAGTATCCAATTTTTTCAAATGATTCGTTCTTCATTGATGGATTGTTCAGTGGTATGTTTGCCAAAGTTTTCTTGTGACTGAACTGTGTAAAGAATAATGTATTTTAAAACAAAAATTTTACATGACAAAATATTTAAGTGAATAGGAAAAAAAATTATAGTAAAAATAATTAATATTTGGACAGAAATATAAAGGAATGAAATACTTTACAGAAAATATGTATGTAATATGTGTTACAAATGTAATTTTTTAGATTTAGAATTTATAGTATAGATAAATTGATCTTTAGATAACAGGCTTTAAAGTTAAAACAATAAATGTAGATGAAAATGAATGGTTGAAATGATTGAAATATTGACAATTAATGTTTTTTTCATATAAATGTTTAAATTTGTAATAAAAATATATTTTTAATTTGTACCTTAGTTTTTCAAGCTGTATGATTTGGGTTATGTATTTAGTTAGTACCACTTACAGATTTACATTGCACTTCTTTAGTCATAGCTAAGAACCTTTAACTTGCCCTTGTTGTTGGGTTAGGCTCTGTGGGGTGGACTTGATATGATAATTGTAGGCTTATCGGGATGTCTGTTTCTGTTCTTGTTGTTGATTGAATATCGTTATGAAGGGAATCGCTCTTCAAACAATGGTGGTCTTTGGAGATGTTCCCTATTGGTTTTTGTAACTGGTGGTATCAATCCCTTTAGTTTTGTTCTTCTTCATTGACGATATATTCAGCGATATTTCCACTAAGGTTTTGTTGCAACTGATCTGTGAAAAGATTTGTTTATTATATTTTTTCATTCTTTTATATTTTCATTATTTATTTATAAAATTTTAACCAGTCTTGTATCTGATCTGTATTTTGTAATTGTAAATTATTTTATTATTAAAGAGACATGTTTGNTTATTATATTTTATATTTTCATTATTTATTTGTAAAATTTTAACCAGTCTTGTATCTGATCTGTATTTTGTAATTGTAAATTATTTTATTATTAAAGAGACATGTTTGTTATTTTAACCTTGTACTATGAATTCTTGTTTCTGCGATTTCTCCGTATGTATGTGGGATGTATCTTTACATCGAAGCATTGGAGTTCACTGTTTTTCCGATATGTTCCGATATGTTATGGTAAAAATAGTTTATATCTTCATTGATGTGTTACGGATATTAGTAAAATTCTTTTTTCTTGAAGTATGGTCAATATCAGTATATTTTTGTATATAGGCCAGATTTTAATTTCTTCTAAAACTGTAGATGTTGTAGTTTCTTATCCGATGTGTTTTAGTTTGCAGACGATGTGTAATTTCAATTTTAAATATTTGTGGTGGTGTTAGATGTAAGAATGCTTTGTAGATTTTTATATGTGGCCTGAAAGAAAATTAAAAGTTTTTAAAAAATGTGACCATTGTAAAGGTAAAAGATACCTATAAATTTTAAGTTGATTTTGTTATTTTTTTAGTATATTAAACAATTATTACAATTTAATGTTCAAGATTGTTATTAATATTGATATTAAATTAAATAAAAAAAAAAGATTAATTAAATATTTTTTAATAATAATTTTGTGTTTTGGTTAATATTAGTGCAAGGCCCAGTACTTTGAGTCTCGGTGAAAATTTGATTAACTGATCAGGTGATTAGAATGTACATATACCGATTTATTTTATAAAGTATAATCACAATGATGATTAGTTAATCCAGCTTTAATTGAGACTCAAAATACCAGACCTAAATATAATAAAATGTGAATGCAGTAACTTACGATATTATCAAAATTGTGAAAGAAGACTGCAATTCTTATAGTCCTGTGTATCCAAGAGGTCTGGGAGTAGATAATGGTGGTTAAATTATTAGATTGGTATTAAGTAGTAAATAGTAATAAAGTAATTACAATGTGTTTGTACAAATTTGAAAAAAAAGTATTACTATAGATACTATAAAATATATAATATGTGAAATGTGCGAAATATTATAAATAGACACAGAATGACAAATTTAAGGTTTTTTGTCTAAAAAATAAATTATATAAATATATTAAAAGAATAATAAATCATATTTATAATATGGACTGATATTTTAAATACATTCTGTAATTTTTATCTACTGGAATATTTCTCTATATATAATTAATTGTTGACAGATTGAAAATATCAGAGAGTTTATATTATATATTTTATATCACAAAAGCTGTTAAATATTGGGATAGAAAATTTACTTGAATAATTTTTGAAGGAGAAAAATGGAAAAGTTTTTACATGTTATAAATGATTTTGAATTTGATGATGGGATAAAAAATAATAACAACATTAAATATTAAATTAATGATTTTGAGGCGAGGTAAGTTATTATATTAAATTATGTCTCACTGAAACGAAATTCCGAAAAATCTATCCTCGTAAAAAAAGGCAAAGTAGGTATATAAATCAGAAATTGCTCGAGGCATTTGGAGACAGTTTTGCCTAAAGTGGTGGCATAGTATTTGCTCCATATCTGATAAAACCGCCAGTTATGTTACGAAGGAAGCATCGGATTTTTCGAATTAATAGAGAGTATAAAAAAATGATAAAAGTAACAATTTCGAAAATGTGATATTTGCATAATTTAATAAAATATATTGTTATTATTTCTATATGAGACTAACATTGAAAATAAATTATTAAGGTTTTAATACATGATTTTAGATTTAGTGTCGGAAAAAAAATATATTTTATATCATAAAAGTTGTTAAAAATTTGGATAGAAAATTTAGTTGAATAATTTTTGGAGAAAAAGTTTTTACACATTATAAAAGTTTTTAATACATAATTCGAATTTACAAACAATAACAACGTTAAATATTAAATTAATGATTTTGAGGCGAGGTAAGTTATTATATTAAATTATATCTCACTGAAAGGAAATTCCGAAAAATCTATCCTTGTAAAAAAAGGCAAGGTATATTAATCAGAAATTGCTCGAGGCGTTTGGAGACAGTTTTGCCTAAAATGGTGGCATAGTATTTGCTCCATATCTGATAAAACCGCCAATTAATTATATTACGAAGGAAGCATCGGATTTTTCGAGTCAATAGAGAGTATAAAAAAATGATAAAAGTAGCCATTTCGAAAATGTGATATTTGTATAATTTAATATAATACATTGTTATTATTTCTCTAAATGAGTATAACATTGAATATTAAGGTTTTAATACATGATTAGAATTAGTGTTGGAAAAAAATAACAAAAATATTAAATTATTGATTTTAAAGTAAGATGAAATGTAACTGGAAATATCTTTTGAAATTAAATTTGGAATAATATATCCTTCTACATACGGCACGGTATATTAAGAATTGCTCGAAAGCATATAAGGGCATTCGTATTTAAAATGGTATAATATTTGCCTCATATTTGATACCAAGTGCCAAATAAAAAATTAGAAGGAAGTATTGCCTGTTTCCATGCGACAGAAAAAATTCTCAGATATGAAAATGAGAAGAAAAGACATTATGGTATTGTAAGATGCAGTTTAATATGCCAATATTGTTTATTGAAATATAAATATTTCTTATTTCCGATTATACGTTTGCTATAAATAGCAAACCATTTTCCCAATTCTAAGATTAAAACATGTTGTTTTATTCGATTTAAAGCAACTGATTGCACGATGCAAAATTAGCCTGTGCTCACATAATCTATAGGAATATAGGGAAAGTAATTAATTCTTGTAACAGAATAATTATAATCGGAAAAGTTTGTCTACTAAAAATGAGATATTATATTGACATATTTGCAAAAATGTTACACATAGTTAGTGTTTTGTAATGATAATATACCAAACTGTCATATGGAAAAGGCTGGAATACTGAAAACATATTTGGAGTATTAGAGAGAGTATCAAATATGGAAAAAGTTCAGTTACTGACCTTTATGAAAAGTTTCTCTCAAATCTCATGGATGGGGTGTACAATAAAACATATTATAGTACTTCTCTGTACACGACGTTTCGTGTGTATATGTTTTCAGCGTTTGGTAAAAGCTTACCTTGTTCTGGACGTTGTAACATATAAATTTTAACGTCTTCTATGTTTTTAGCTCTCGAAAAAGCTACATAGAGTTGTCCGTGAGTAAATACGGGTTCCTCCAGATAGATACCCACTCGGTTGAAGGTCTGTCCCTGCGATTTATGAATCGTCATGGTATAAGCTAACTGAACGGGAAATTGCCTTCTTTTTAATTTAAATGGTAACGTGTCACCTCCTGTTTTGAGGTCTATACGGGGAATAAAAACTCGTTCTCCAGTAGGTCTGCCACTACTGTCGGTTTTTTCAGCGTCTATGTACTGGTTTCCCAATAAACGAACAATTAATCTAGTACCATTGCACAAACCTTTTTTTAGGTTTAAATTGCGTAAAAGCATTATTACGGCGCCTTCTTTTAAGACCAATTTGTGTGGCGGAAGTCCACTGGGAGTTAATGAATTTAGAAATTCGACAGTGTAATTTGCCACTTCGGCTGCCGGGTCATCCGTTGTATCCACACAGTCAGCGCTACAGTAAGTTTTGCTCGGGCCCTCTAATTTTTGCAAAACTTTTTTATTAATGGAATGGCTAATATTATTTGTTGGAACTAAAATGGCCCTACTTATGGCCACTGTTGGATCCATGTCATCAAAGCAGAACTC